TCTATTTTCTGGAAAAATTTTGAATCTTCACAAGAGTTTAAAATTTCTTTATATATTTTTAAGTAAGTTAACATCTTGCTTTGATTAAAGTTAATGTACAATACTTTTCGTTAAAAATCGAATGAATTTGAAGGTTTTTCCCTTAAAGCTTGGCACGATGATCCGAACAGATCTGAGAGCATATTTGTACACGGGACGTTGTTGGCTGGCCAACAATGTCCAAACTGTTTCCCATCGATGTTTCCCATCGTACCGTGACTTCGATTCGACGTGCACAAACGCGGAGTGCACGCATATTTTATACTTGGCACACTTGGTGCGTAACGCGTTTTTTTTTCTTTCTTTTTTTTTGGAAATACCGTTTCCCCAGTAGAATCGATGCAATCGTAATTATGCGAACTATCAATGAACGAATGTGAATTCATCTCTTCTTTTCTTTCCTTTTTTTTTTTTTTTTTTTTTTTTTGAAGTGACGCGTTCGATTAACTCGATTCGTGATCGGTTTCAAGCTTTTCTGTGTTTCAAGTTGAAATTGAACTCAGAAGAATTGTTTGGCCAACGATTGAGATTGTTTGTATTCTAGAGATACGAAGGAAAATTCCCAGATACGCTCTTTAATCCTTTCGCGGTTCTACGTCCAATGTGATTGCACATGGATCAGTCGAGTGGTTTGGAGAAACGATTTTATCTCAACAAATCGTGTATCGTTATACTTAGATCGTATCAGAAAATATACTCGAATTATACACGATGATTATGAGTTAAATACATTTCAAAGATTGAATTTTCCTTCTTCAAAAGGAGATCACTTCGCGATGATTGGTAACGAAAATTTTGTTATTTGTAAAACTGTTTTGCAATCTCGTTTGCAATCTAATACTTCTGTTTTCACTTCGCCGATATTACTTTCTCCCAAAGTCTATCACATCCCCAACATCATTAACCAACCCCCAACGTTCCCAGCCTCCATTTACAATTCCCATGCACCGCCAAATCATATTCCACGCGTACTCCCTCTCGCCCATTCCCTCTTCATCATCGCTTGCTCCCAACACTCGTCGAATGCTCGTTGTTTCTCCATCGAATCCTTTCGACGAATCGACCACAGTCGAAAATCCATCACGATAGATTAAAATTCGTTGCATCTCGCCACGAAATTTCGAACACCAATTTTTCTGCAACCACGAAGCTTTGTTACAATCAATCCAAACTCGAAAATTGAAAATTAAAATTTTCTATTATCTTCTATATATACAAACTTATTATTTATTATATTATATTATTATATTATTATATATTATTTATTATATTATTTATTATACAAACTTCAATTTATAAATATCCATGCTTCGTTCCAAACTCAACTACTCATATTACGATCAAAATTTCTTAAATCAATTTTCTTAAATCAATTTCTTAAATTCTCGGCCGAAAATTTATTCTCGTCTCAAAAGATGGAAGATTCTCCTCCCCCCCCCCCCCTCTTTTTTCTCCCCCGGATAATTACCGGCGCGCGTTTCTCGATCGCGGAAAGCGGTAGAATTTCATACGGAGCCCACCACCACCTTCCTTTCAAACGAGAGTCCGCTCGTAAATCATCGTCAACCACGCTGACAAGTTTGTACAGGCCTTATACGGGGCCGGTTGTTTATCGTCTGTGTATGCACGGCGCAAACCTCGTCCCCTTTGGGCGCGCGCATTCACTGCAAACCGAGCTACCAACCCTCCTCCGGTTCGTCGTTACGCAGGCCTAATGGCGGACGGCGTGTCCCCGTTGTCGGTGGACGTCGCTTCAAACACGCGTATCGCGCGTGTAACCGTTAATTGGGATCCTTTACGCCGGACACCGATACCCGCGATCTATCTTTATCTCCGTCACCCTCCCCCCTCCTNCTATCTTTATCTCCGTCACCCCTCCCCCTCCTCCCCCGCGCTTATGATACACCGATTACCGCTCAGCTTCCCGTTTCCCGGTAATTGGATAAGGGAGGGGCAACTCCCTGAATCCTCTCTCAGAGAGCGAGGATGATTGCGCTGGATATCGCGTTTTCAGTTTCTTCCATCTTTCGATGTGGCGGTCGTCGTTTTTCTGTGTGGAACAAGTGGAAGGGAATGGTATTAGGGGGAGTTTTTTTTTTTTTTTTTTTTTGAAGGTGATTCAAGTGGTTAAGTAAGTGTATGGGGAAATTTTTGAATTTGGAATGGGGAATTTTTGAATGGGGAAATTTTTTTGAATTTTCGAATTTTTGAATTCTTAGAGGATTTGAAATTTGGTTAGAGACAGATTCATATGGATATTTGGAATTTTTAATTCTTCTTTAATTTTCATTTTAATTAATAGAAACGTGTGTGGGTTTTAATAATAAGGGCGATAAGTGAGCCAAAGTGAAATAATGGATTATTTGTAATTGGACGTCTAATTTCGAAAGATCATCAAATTTTCACGAAAATCTACCAACGAAACACGCTCTCTCTGCTTCTAAATATTTACACACCCGGGAATCTTATTCCATTGCTGGGATATGCTCCACTTCCATCAGGCCGACTGGCAAGCGAACGAAACGGGCATGTTAGAATAATGTTTCCTTTGAAACACCTTGGCGAGATCCTCCGTGGCTAGAGACAAAGATATCCGGTGTCTGGGACGGAGAGAGAGAGAGAGAGAGAGGGAGAGGGCACCGTTCCATCGGGAAACCAGCAGACCTTCCTCCTTCCAGACCGGTGGATCCGCTTCGAACCAGCCAGACTGCCGAGCTTGAAATTCCCTTAGCGGAGAGGAGGGATACCGTGCGATACCGCTTCTGAACGCTTTCTGAACTGGTTTGCTCCTCTCTGTTTCCCTCATCGATGCCTCTCGTTAAACGGAAGTGTGGCTGGAAACGAGAATGAATTTCTAAATTGCGTCGTCTTTTTCAATTTTTCTATAACGTTTCTATAATGTTTGGTAGATGAAAAATTTTTGATTACTCTTTTTTTTTTTTTAGAGAGAAAGGAATTGTATGCATTTTACAAATTAAGAAGTTAAAAGTTAAGAAATTATTCTGCTATTAAGCAAATTTACTTTTAATATTGAAATTTCTAACTAAAGAGAATCTATTATTGCAAATGAAGTATGGAATTTAAAATGCAACAAAGCATCCAATTAAATTTATATATCTGTTCTGATAAGAATTTAGAGAAAATAAAAAATTATATAAGATTAGTACAGATTTTCACATGATGATATTATTGCAAATTGGTATTGGAAATGACACGTTTCAATCCTTTAGACGATTCTCTTTGAGACTTGGCCCATAATTTCCATTTATGGCTCGTCTTGTGCAACAATGATACACTGTCACTTTGTCATCGGATTCGCAACAAAGCCGATCGAAATCCTGGCTAGCCTTCGGAACACCGTTGGCCGAAAGCACACGGTTTGTATTGTGAAGAGACAGAGGAGTACCATCAACCGTTGTTGCATAGGCGCACAATAATCTATACGTCACACGCTAAATTGATCTCGCTGGTCCGGGTGCACTGGGCGTGTCCAGATGAGCTTCCAAGCTAATTACATCAAGGTATAACATGCCGCAATTAACATTGCTCTTATAAGCCTGATTAATTTGCAACTTACTACTCTGATTAACGGGATATTCCTGCTCTTTCAATACTTTTAAGCTTTTCGTTTTAAGATAATTAGTCGTAACCAATTGAAATATATTTTTAATTTGGGAAAGTGAGAATGTTATTTAAGATGATGGAAAATAACTTGATCGATTTTTTTGTAATAAATCGACTTCAAAATAAATAATCTTCTGAGTATTTTTTAATCAAAAATTCGTATTGAATTAATTTCTTTTATCGATATATTATTTCTTATATTCAATATCATGTAGTTAAAGTTTTCGAAAGATGATAAATTTGAAACAATCGAGCGGCCAAAGCTGCGAATTGCAATGTTCCTCCTCTCTTCTCGTTGTACTGGCGAGCAAGGAACGGGTTACTTCCCGTGCGTGGGAGGATACACGTGCGTGCAAAGACGAGACGGAAGGGGAAACACGTGCGTGGCGAAGACACACACGCATAGTCTCGATCCTCGGCTAAACAGAACGACCTGTTGCGTGGATTTTTAGTGCTTTCGAGCCGACCTCAGTGGCCTGCGGCCGCGACTTTTCCGCCTCGAGTTTTCGCTCCTTTATCTTTTTCCTTTTCCTTTTTAAAATTTTATTCGAAAACTTTTCTTCTTCTTCTTCTTGCCACGTTAAAAAGCACGCCACTTTTGTTTTTTCTTTCTTTTTTTTGTAAGTTTCGAAAATTCAATTTTCAAGATGATTGCGCATAGATTTTATTCTAGTAAGTTCAATATTTAGTCTGTTTAGACAAAATCTTCTGTTTAGATTACCTATTCGGATAGATTATTGTAGTTGGATTGTAATAATATCATTACTCCTTTATACTTTGTTGCTAAGTATATTTTTATTGCAAGCTATATGTGTTCATATTTATTTATATTTAATTATAGATCTCAAAAGGTTAAGGTTATCGTAAGACTTAGGTTTATTATATAATTGCAACCGTTTGAAGATTTCAATGCAGTGTTTATTGATGAAACGTTGGAATAAAATTTCTATTGGACTTAAATCCAGAAATCTTGAGAAATAGCAATTTTTTATTTTTATTTCACTTTGTTTATTCGGTTCGTATGGTTTTTTTTTTTTTGTAAGGATTCTATGAATGAGAAAGATAAAAGTGCATTCATGAATTTTGCACGTATAAGAAGACGTATAAGAAGTGTCTTATAGACTGCTTAAAAGAACTGTAAGGGTTATTTTTGGAGAACCATTTACCATTTTTTATTCCGGTTATTAAAAGCTATGCGTGGGTGTCGCATCCATTTTATTGAGATTCTCTGCATTTTCTATTATTTCTGGAAAAATTTTAGTATTCAGTATAAATCATAAATTTTATTTCACAAAAAAGATTTTATTTGAAAAAATCTATTAACCATCATTCTTCCAATTTCTTTGAAAAGTATATTAAATTTCTTACAAAATTTTCTTCTTTCAATAAATTTTTTAATTTTCTTCCTCAATCATCAAAATTTTGCAAAACAACTTCATTAATCCTTTTGAGAACTAGAAAAGAAAAAAAAATAGAATTCATCAATGAAAATAAAGTGTCAAGGATAGTTCCAACCAAGTAAAGCTCACGACAGAAAGGGATGAAGTTTAATTACCGGAAAAAAAGGAATTTCCAACGCGTATTAACCCTTTGATCGTTGATACATTCGACGAGAGGAGAGCCACTCGGTATTCCTTGTTCTTTGGGCCAACTTTGCGAATCTGCTTTGATCGGTCGAGGGCCCACCATGCACTTCAAACTCCTCTTTCTCTTTCTTTCTCTCTCCTTTCCGGTTCTCGTTATTTCTGCATCGTTTCAACGATTTCCAACAGCGTGTGCCCTCGAGTTTGAAAAAGAACACCGACGAAGACGGAGTCGCGATCTAATTAAGACAACCCTCACGATTTCGAGATCGCTCGTTAATTCTCGCTTTCGAGATCGGCTACTTTGGAGTACTTGGTTTTCCTTTTCTTTTGATTTGTTCAATGGAGATTGTTTTAATTCGGAATGACGCAATGGATGGAGATGAAATCAAAGGCTTGGAACATGTAAAGTTTATTGGGCTTCAAATTTGAATTATCTGAAAAAGAAGAAGAGATGAGAGTTAGATTTTAATTTATTATTGGATTTGAAATGTATATTAGAAAGGAAAGAAATGAATAATTTTTTCTACATTTTTCTGTGAAATGTATATATAATTTCTTTAGGATTGAAAGATAGAAGTTTTAGCAAGTCTAATCTAATAATCTAATTCATATGGAAAATAGAGGTAAAGATAGGATCATAATAAATTATACACTATTGTTTTCTCTAATAACGCAATCTGTTAATGAAACTCATTGTTAAATTATTATATATATTAAGATAAAAATATTGAAAAATGTGATATATAAAAAGGAAGTTTTGATATATTTTAACAAAATAATTAGTTAAGTCCAATTAGGAGAATAAAATATTCAATTTTAAACTTATCTTTTGTAAACTTCTTTAAAATGCCATTATGTTTAGTTTTGAACTGATTTGAATTGTAAAAAAAGATATAAAAATACATGTATAATGCATATAGAATACATAATTCACATAGAAATATCAATATTTTTGCTTGTTCTTTAATATATGTATTAAAAATATACATATAATACAACATATAAATATGTAATATACTTAATGTACATACACATAACCTATATTATATATATATAAATACCTATAGAGAAGCCAACTTTTATGTTTGTTCAAGAATGGATTTTTCAAAAAACGCTTCACAAATATATCAACATTTTCTACATAATATGGTATATATATCACCGTCTGTTCTCCACTCGTAATTACAAAAACATACCGAAATTGGATTAACCACAGAGAATTCCTTGCATCCAAACTGATCGTTCGCCAATTGCAGCTGTTCCCGCGCAGATGTCCATGTTCCCCATGGGTATGTGCACGCATATGTTGCAACTGCGCAGGCGCGTTTAAGTGGCTTTTCAAGATGGTGGGGGACGTCCACTTACAAAGGAATCCATCGCGTGCTCTGTCGTCCGAGGATAAACGTGCACCGTTATTGTTCCACGCTGTTTTCCTGCCTTTTTGCCTCGTCCCTTTTTCTTTTCATCCTTCTGTCCCGAGCACTCCGACGAAGACAAACTCTGAGAATGAGTGTCCACGCGTAACTCGGTACACTGTGTTCTTTTTTCGTAATAAATACCACGCGCGTGGGTGAACGTCCATGCTTCTTTTCACGTTACTGCGTAGTTTTTACTCATGGAGGGAGTCTTGTGACGCGACCACTTGAAACTCGTAAACAACTTGTGTGCAAGGAAATGTTTTGTGTGAGAGGTTTATGATGTGGAAGAGCATGTTTTGATGTGGGATTTTTGATCATGAATTTGGAATGGAAGGTGTGTAAATAGAGAAATATTTACTTCTAATTTATCTAATTTTAACAACATTAGAACTGCCAACTTATAATATGTACATGAATATATTGATTTTTTTTATTGATTTTTAAAAGAACTTGGTAATTTCTAATAAAAATCTAACAAACAATAAAAAACAATAAAAATTAATCAATTTAACTCGATTTGGTAGTTCTAGTGTTAATTATTGTATTGTAAAAAGTTTAATTTCTATTTCTTTATATAATACAGAATTAATATACATCGCATATTTATCTATCTATCTAAGATTTTTACATTTATTTTCGGAAAATATTAAAGTTAAGATAGATTAAGCTTCTATACTATTAGTAATAACCTCTTTATATTCTTGGTTTCCAAAATTATTTAAAATAAAAATAAAATAGCCAAAGATAAAATTTAATTTAAGAAAACGCAAATACGTTTCTAAAAATTTTAGAAATCTGTCATAGAATCTCATATATGTTACTAATTAGATATAAAGTAGACATTTGCAAACATTTACAAGTTATATTAGTTTCGAAACTACTTCGAACTAGGAATCTTTCGCGAAAAACTATTGGCGGAGGAGGTCATAGAGATTGACCAATCTCTTTTTTCGTAAGATCACGATTATTTCGTAAACTAGTTTCAAGCTACATCGTTGATAGAACTCATCGTGGACTGCTGCCCCGGCAACTATCGAACCGTCCCAGTTTTTCGACAGTGCGCAGTCTTCCCTCTCTTCTCTTTAACTCTCATGCTGTAAGCTCGATCGTTCAATTAAAAAAAACCGTTATTTCGCGCCGAATAACCTCTCTCCTGCTTCTAATCGAAGCATGGAAGAAACTTCGCCGTAAATATAATTTCGTTTTGAATCGAGGGAGCTTTCTTACGATTGAATTAAATTGAGGAAAAAGGAAGCTTCAATTTTTCCTTTTTTTGTTCATTACATTGCAAGTTTGAAGTTAAAAATTGGATTAAAAGATGGAAGATAGATGGATTGATTTTTGTCTTGCATTCTTGATGATAGTGAAATAAGTAAGTAATTAGAGAAAATGTATTGGTTTTTGAAAAAATATCGTTATATAATTGATTATAAAACTATTCGATGACCTAGTAACAACGTCTATTTCTAATATCAGGGCCTAGTTGAAGTGTACGAAGTTGTTGATTATGAAATCGATTTTTTTGATAACGAAATAAAAAATTATTGTTTCTGAGAATTAATTTATGAAGTTTATGATATAAATATATTTATTTGATTTTCTAATTGAATTAATGATGATATGTGAAAACAATTAGAAATTAATAGAAATAATAAAATAAATCGATTTTGAAAATTAATCCAAGAGAAAACTTTAAATAATTAAAAATTTTTAAATATAGTGAACAATTTTTATTATTTCTTTTTCAATTAGGAAAAATAGAATGAGAAAATTAGTAAAAATTGATTTATCATTTTTCACGAATTCCATACATTTTACAAGTCGACACATTATTATGTGGAAACGAGATTAAGTCGTTTTAACGATTCGAACTTCTGTTCGAGCCAGATTTCAGATAGATTTAGATGGATTTGGTAGAATCACAACCTAGCACGACTGTAAAACGTAGATAAGGTTCACGTGGTTTAGTTTTACGGCTTAGGATTACGTTGCTCGCGAATTTAGACACCTAAATCGTGCTGTACCCGTCTAATGCTTCAGCTTGCCCTGAATTTTAGTACAAATTACAACTAAACAGCAGATTTCTATAATCTTCATACGTTTCTTGCTTCTTGATAGTGTCTGTTATTGAAATTCCATTCTCAGAACTTTCTTGAAAAACAGTATAACAGTTATTATCATTATACAAAGTACATTTATTGTTTAATATTATATTTATATTATTTCATAGATTATCTAAGAATTTCATTAAAAAATATAATTGTACTTTTTTTTTTACATAAATAAAATTAATTCAAAAAATTTTTAAATGTTCATATCTGTAAAATTAAGTCTTCTTCAAATTAAAAATTTTATACTAAGCGAATCTCTTTAATCTATATTAACTTTACTCAATTGAGCAGCCAAGCAAGTACTTTAGAGTCAAGCTCACCAGAATTCCCACTTATCGCTATCGTTTTTCCTCTTTCTCCTTATCGTCATTGCGGTTCACGTGTCCACGGTATCTGGCATAAAATACATAAAGTCGAGAACATCCGGTACTGTGCCAGCACAGAAAGCTTAACACGCAATATGGAGCACGTACGCACAATAACCGCTGTCCGGCACGTATATCCGATATTCCATTCGAGAGAATATGCGAATATATGCAACTTAGTCTAGAAAAGCTGAAAAGTAATCGAACGTATTCACGATTTTCGAAGTTTAATCCGATCGCGGTCTCCACGCGTATTCAAATTTCCCGCGCGTTGATTTTACCTCTAGTGAATTTCTAATATCTCTAGTGACTTTATAATACAAATTTGAATATTTAATACTTTAGATAGATATAATAAAAAATAAACTTTTTAATTTAATAATATATAAAGATTGTTAGAAAATGAATATTTAATTTTTGCAATTTTCATCGAAATTAGTCGAATATTTTGAATTGGATTAAATTTTTGGATAAATATCGCAACGAATAATTATATTCTTGTATTCTGTGTTATGTTCTTGCACGTAAATTTTTATACATAAATATTCACAATCCAATTTCCATTGAAATTAAAAAAAAAAAATTAATAGAAAATTCCAAGACACAAGAAGCAAACTGACCATGTTTCAAAACTGGCTTAAATTATTCGCCTTTTCACCGATTAGAAAGTGAAATGGACACTCGATGTGGCAGTGAACGATTAACACGCTAACGAACGATACACCTCATAATGTATCCACTCTATTAATCACACGCGTAAAATATAGTTTCACTTTCATCTTTTCCAAAGTGTCGCTAATTTTAATTTTAATCTCGAGGGAAGAAATTTCTTTCGCGCAATTATCCTGTGCCACATTTAAATTCATAATGACGCGAATACGAAAGGGAAAGGGACACGCGATCTTTTTTATATTCAATGCGTATATCGCGTATGCGAATCATCGACAAAAGGGAAGAAGACGCGGTTCTTGACCAGACAAAAGCGTCTAGACGAGCGACGGAATTAAAGCCGAGCCTCTGGCTCAACTCTCTTCTTCTTTGCATCGGGAAAAAGGTACACCGAGTTCAAACAATTCCTGGACGAAGGAAATACTCTATCCTCGCTCACTTTCTATCTCCTATTAGACCACGTGCTTTGAATCTTCTTTAATGGACAACGTGTACGATTCTCTCCCATTTTCTCTTCTTTCTTCGAGAAATAATAAAATATCGCGTATAAATTTTTATCCAACAATCCAAAATTCGTAATATTCGAAATATATTTGTGTGTCATCTTTTCTCTATAAAGCGAGAAAATGTTTAAAAAAAATTTTCGACACTTTCGAAACTATTGAATACCTTGGCCTTGATTATTTTAGCGTGATATTGATTTGAAATGTTTATAAATAAAAGTTATATTTTCTTCTCATTGTTCTCGTTTAAATAATTGTTTCATTAATAATCAATTCATTTATAGAATAAGATGGAATTAGGTCTGGTTGTAAATTTAATTGTTTATGACAAGTAGTTGGTCGATTTATTTTTGTTTGAATTATTTTTTTCGAGATAAAAGAAAAATGTTATATAAAAGAAACAATTACTCAATATCTGCACTTATCTTCTTTATTACGCATAAATGTTCTTCATATTGCACATTTTTAACTTTAAGAATTTTTCATTGCGTTAATTCATTTGAACTTCTTTCGAATTTACAAGCAACAGAATTTGAAATTAACGCAATTCTCGTTGGATCCGTTTATCTTGTTACTCAATCGAAAATCCATAAATATTCAATAGCAAATCTTGATAAAAGTTTACTGAAAAATCGGTGAACCGTTATATTACGAAACTCATAATTGCCGATACCTTTATTATCCTTATTATTTTTCAAAAAAAAAAAAAAAAAGATTGTAAATAAAAAGAATAGAATCGTATAATAAATTTCAATATGAAAATATAATTTTCCACGGAAGTATCATAATTGCTATGCGATTTTGAAATAACGATAAATCGTATCGAGGCATTGGTTCACTAATTAGAAAAGGAAGAAGGAGAAAAAAAAAAAAAAGGAAATCATAGCCGATTTAATAATCGCGAATAAATTTATCGATGAAGTTCTCGCGTGCCTTCCAAGCGATTAAGGGAAGGTGTTGCACTTTCGTGCGGCTTATCGCTGTTATCTCACAAATAGAAATATCAGCGGTTGAAATTAATAAATTCCAGATTCGTGAAAACAACATAAGACTGTTCAAACTGTTTATCATAGAAATATAAAATCTTAGATAAGTCTTGGACCGCCCGGTGTTAGCCACGATTTACCGGTAACCTAACGTTAGGCGTACGTTTCTAAATTTATTATTATTTCCTAGAAATATTATTTCGTTTTAGCATTTACGTGTATCGTATTAGTTTGGACAGAGTTCAAGAATTCTTAACTTAATAACCGTTCTTCAAAATTCTATACTTTATTTTTATACTACTTATATTTGAATAAAAAATAAAGAATAAGTCTCTAAAGCTCTCTTTCTTTACGAAGATTTAAATATTTAAAATATGTTAAAATAAAATTAATTTTCAAAAAAACGTACCTCCAAATTACCTTAGATCTCGATGAATGTTTCGCTGAAATGTAGATTTCGTGGCCGTTCGCGAGTCGTTGACCCCCTCCCGACACACGTAGCACGATCGTGATTGACGTGTCGGCAGCTCGACGACGGCTGAACAGAGAAAGAGAGAAAGGGGTTCCATTAGCAAAGGTTATCGGGTCGACCTCGAATCGTATCGATTGGCTCGGTTTAAAACGTCGACAGCAACAGGCGTCCTTCTTTTTCGGCGCGTCACGCATCGCCATCCTCCTCC